TCCTTAATTTTGAGGTGGTGGAAATGACCTCCAGTGTGAAATAGCTCCTGCCCTTTTATACCCTTCCAGCATACTCTGTCAGGTGACCTCCTAATCAGCCCCAGCAGCTGATCACAGCCTTTACCAGGTGATTTCATTGTCTTACAGCTTTCCTGAAATACTAGTGGTTTCTATATAGGAATTAGCCTGTTAGTTACAGAGGTTACATTTCAATGATGGAGCACTAATGCAAAAGATCTTCCATTGTTACCCTTATATTGGCATTTTTTAGAAATTTGAGTCCAAGATAAATGGAAACAAGAGAGAGCACATATCTGTACATGCAAAGCAGAGTGCAGCATGATAAAGTTTGATAGATCTATCTATCTATTGAATATTTAGATGTATATAGAATTCTAAGATGTATGCAGAAGCCTTAAGTATTACATTAAGACTTTCCAAATGGTCAAAGGATATACTTTTTCTTCTGTGGACTGTTACAGATTGTTTTCTTATGTCCTCTCATCAGTTTTATGTACACTTCCACTTTGATCATTAGTCTCACAAGCAGAATAGCTTGATACTTCATACCCTTGGGAAAAAACCTCTGATCTCTGGAGCAAAATCATGGAATATTCAAGGACATTTTTGCAGTTGCACCATTTATTATGTCATGAGTATAGAAAGATTATTCCATATATGAATGCACATAGTTATGTGGTTTATATTTCTTTATACTGAGTTATCACTGTAACAGAATAGTATGTGTACTGTATTCTCTTCCTTATATATTCATTCCCCTAATAAAAGGTGCATATATTTATGTATGGTAAACTGCTGAAAGGGTTTCTTGTTGGATAATTTTGAAATTTAAAAATGGGCCATAACTTACTTTATTAAAGAAATCTGTAGGTGTTAGAAAATACTGTCAACTTAAATTTTTCAGTTAGTTACTTTCAACAAATAACTGATGAGATTACTGACAGAAACCTTTTAATAATATAACCTGGTACTTTAAAGAAAGAAAGAAAGAAAGAAAGAAAGAAGTGTAACCAACTAAAGGGGTGGGAGTAGAGAGGATGTACTTAAGAACTACATCAAACATGCTCAAGCCTATCTTTCTTTCCTTCCTCTGTCTGGGCTGCCTCCTTAGTTTTACTTTAGCTAGTCCTGTGTCCAAATAATCTTTAAAGATAGACTAGATCAATCATGTGGTTTATTAGCTGCTCTAAGTAATTCTTGGAAGGTCACAACATAGTTACATTTTACCATATCAAGTATTATTAAATACAAAGTAAACTAATTTTAGAAAACATCCTTACGTAATCTATTAGTGTTCCTACGTACAATTGTTTCACAGTATACCTTCGTCAGATGCTGTGAAAGGCATGTAATGAAGTTAGCTCTAGCTCATAAAAGCTTATGCTATACATATCTCTAATTTAGTTAGTTTATAAAATGCAGATCTACTCTGCCATTTTTTAGGTTGACCTATTAGATGTTAAAATGAACTAATTTATAAACAATTTGGTGTTTTACTTTAAAAGTCCTAAACGTTTTGAGTTTCTTTCTGTATTGAGGACTATTTGAGCAAGGGCAAAAGGGAGTAAAATTATAATAGCAATCTGTTAGGTTTCTCCATTGTTTGTTTGTTTGTTTGTTTGTTTTAACAACGTATGAAAAGAAAATGCTCGAGATTCTAGAGTAGGCTTTCCTGCTCTAGAAACCTGGCATAGCATTACAAAAATTAAACTAATAATAATATTCTAATTTAAAACAACACCTTACACAGCCTCTGAGGATAAGATTTCTTCCACCTCTTGAAAATCAGGCTAGTTATATACTTTGCATCTAGCCAGAATTGAAAATATGGAAGTACATAATCAAACTTTGAAATGCCCATCTTGAGATTCTACAGTGCATAATGCATGTATAATGTCTTCAGTGAGAAAGAGTTAAAGGCAATTTTCTACATGGTATCACTCAAAGCTATAGAAGTCTTATTTTAATCCAAGCAATTACATCTTTCCTTGGGTATAAATAAACCAATGTAGTGAGGAGTGTAGAGAGGACCAAAGAAACACTTGTAAAACCTCCCACAGAAAGTTGAGAGGGGAGGATGAAGAAAATCAACTTGAATAATTAGAGAGCTGAGAATCAAAAACGAACAGATTTATAGAAGCTAAGGGAGGCAAGATTGCAAACAGATTGTAATTCAACTCTAAGGGTAGTTGTCAGCTCAAGGAGGATTCCCAGTTCAACTGTAATTATCAGAAAATAACTATATTTGTTTTGATATTCATAATGACTAAGGAATAAGAACACATGATTAAGAAATTACAGAAAAGAAATTGTGTAGCCTTTCCTAAATAAATATCCATAGACATTAATAGTTGGAAGAGAATACAGAAGATACTTTTGCAATATTTGATCAAAAAAAGAATGTGCAATTCATGTGTACTCAGTTTTTATAGGTTTCAGGGTAAGAAAGTTACTACTATATTTTACTTTAATGTGACAGGATATGCAGATAATGAAACAAGTAAACCAAGATATGTAAAATTATACAAGATACAGCTTTGACTTAGATATTTTTTTCTCTCTCTCCTGCTCATTTGTACTGGGTTTGAATATGTTTTATGGAGAGGAAAATGTAGGGCCACTAGGTGTCATACTGAATAAGTGATAATGAAACCTCTCTTACCATGGTACTGAACAACCTCTTTCTAGCATAAGTTTAGGACTGGTATTCTAGTTTGGTTGTGCTTGTCAGCCACTCTTAACACTGATCTTTGATCTTTTATTAAAATCTTTATCTTTTTTTCTATGGCTACTCTTGTCCTCATTAGTCATTGTCTCTTTTAAAGTATCCTCCTCCTCACCCCTTCAGCTTTCTGTCACGATTCCACAGGTCTCTGTTTACTTCTCTTTCATCTCTTCATTTTATTATTTGTATTTATCTCTAAATATATTCAACTATGCTTTCTATTTGGGTAACTCTTGGCTCTCTCTATTCCAGAACTCTCTTGTATCTATACCTAGGTCTCTTTCATCTCTTCATGGAGGTTTAGCTGTCAAATTGAGCTTAGTATATTTAAACTTACCCCCAGGCCTCCTCACTTTTTCCTGTCCCAGTAACTGGACACTGCCGTAACTTGATGGTACATTTATCTTCAACAAGGGTGCTGTGCAGTGCTGTACAGTATTAGCACTGTTAGACGTGCAAACACCTACACATGATTTAGAACAGTGTTTCTCATCCTCTGGGTCAAGACCCAAAAGTGGGTCAACAGAAATATATGAAAGAATTGCGAACAGACTTTAAAAATGGATTCTTCTTTAAGGAGAAAAATGTGGGAAATCGTGGCTTTTCCCTTGAAAGCTGCCAGATTTCCAGCCTGCAAGGGGCTGCTGGGGCCTGGGAGCAAAGCACAACAGGTCAGGAGTCAGGGTCACTAGGTCAGGACTGGCCATAGATGTTTATAAATGGGTCCTGGTACAAAAATGGTCGAGAACCACTGATTTAGAAGATAAACCTGGAGATTTCAAATAGGAATCCATGGTGTCAAAAACATTCTGACCTGTTGTAGTCCTTCTGAGTTCTTTGGAACAGAAAAATTGCTTTATTTTTCTGTAGTGAAACAATGAGTGACAGCTAAAGCTGGCTTTTTCTGAGTTGTGCTTTGACTCTAGCGAGAGGTTTCTTGATTTTAAAAAGATTGGGAGTCACTGCTCTGTAGCTTGGACCTCTCATCTAGACAAGACTTTTCTTACCCATTCCTAGGGATTAACTTTTGTCCAGGCTGTCATCTCATTTCTATTAGTACAACATCACTATTCACTGACTTTGACAAATGTGGACTTGTCTGCTCGTATCCTTGAAGTAGCTTTCTGTAAAAATTGTTCTTAATACATTTCTGTGATTTTCTTTTCTTTTCTTCTGCTGGTTCTTCTCACATCAAGCAAGTTTACTCTTTTTCAGTTTCAGGGGCATTCATAATCTGTTATCAGCCTCTTATCACCCTCTTATCTTCAGTGTTTAAATAGAAACTTTTTCTCTGATCAGTCTATGGGCCATCCTCTATCCCAACTAAATATATTTTCCCATGAGCACCTTTTATGCTTTTTCTCGTGCTGTCCTTCACCTACTGAGAGAAACTCTTTTCAATCAGAAGTTTGTTCCACTTACAGGAAGAGTAGCACGCATGCACGAACGTACACGCATGCACGCGCACACAAGAGTAAGATGTTATTTTGAGCTATTATGCAATTGTCTTTATATACACTACACAAACATAAATCAGGACAAAAATATTTCTTGAAATAAAATTTAAATTTTATAGTAGATGTTTGATTTTTAGTGTATGATGGTGGGGGGGGGGGGGGGGTTGGTTCCGCAACCGCTCCCCCTTCCAAGGAGTACTTCTGGGGGCAAGGGGAGGGACTTCCAGTGGGGAGGGAGGGATGGCCCATGGGACTTGCAGTCCCAGTTTGCTGTGAAGTTCCAGTTGGACAACAGACGAATCCACATGATCAAGAAGGTGGCTTTAAGAGATTTTGCATAAACTAACATTCTTAATAGGATTTCACTTCTGATTAAACTTACTTAAAAACAAAAAAGGAACTTGGCATATGTCTTGGAGTGCAGGTTTTACTACTTTTTTTTTTTTTTTTTCTTGTAGACTGGGGAGAAATGGTACAAAATCTATATAGTGCTGAAGTGAACTTTAATTTGGACTATGAGCTTTGGAATTCAGATGTAGATTATATCAGGCACCACGTTCATTTCATTTGGTCACAACTTCCTGCTAGATAGTCAATGTTGTAACTAGCTATTTTGGATTATTCAATTTCTGTTTGGAAATATAGAAATATTATTTTTTATTTTTCCATGGTTTGTTTAGAACCTTTAAGATCGTTATCTTTTTTGCGTACAATTGCCTTATGGAAATTTAGTAAATTTATTGGTGAAAAAAATTGGACTGGTCAAATCTAGATCACTCTTTTTTCTTATTTTAAAGGGAGAAGTTGAACAGATTGCAATGATGAAACCAAAAGGCCAGACTGAACATGATGAAGGTATGCTCGAATATTTAGAAGATCTAATAGGATCAGGACGGTTGAAAGAGCCTATTCAAGTTTTGTGTCGCAGGGTTGAGACATTAAATGAACAGAGAGGGGAGAAGGTGAGTCTTGGAAAGTTTTTTGTTTGTTTGCTGTATATAAGTCAAAGAAAACCAGTTATTAAGAGATGGAACTCTTAATTTGGGAAAAATACTAGAAAACGTTAAGATATCTTTTGGCTATGCCAGGAATTTCATTTTGAAAAGTGCCTTTAAGGTGAGATTTAAGAGAGATTTGTAAGTTGGTCTGGTACTGAAGAAATCACCTGAAACTAAAGAAAGATCTTTTAAACTGACATCTATTATCTAATTTTCCTTTGGTCTGGCTTTATAAATAGTTTGAAAATAAAAACTTTTGATACTACCTCTTAAGTTACCAGCATTTTGGATCACTCAACAGTGGTTGGCAAGTACTTCATAACTAGGCAGCACAGTTGGTCCCAGTGGATAATTTTCTATCTGCAGACAAGGGAAATGTGTTCATGTTCATGCCTTGGAATCTTTTTGGAGCATTTAAAACTTGATCATGATGTACTGCTATCCCACTTTTCCTGGAACCTTCTAAGTAAACTTCAGATAACACATCTCTATTTTTAAAGCCCTTTGCCTACAAAGCTGCACAAAGCAAAGGCCCTCATGTACTCTGTGTTGTACAGCATTTTAACAGAAACTATTGGGAAAGCTAGTGACATAATTTCATCGTAGAAATTAAAGGCTGGAAGGGACTTTGAAAGATCAAGTCCAGCCCTCCTGGACAGAAATACTGTTGAGATCAAATGATCCCAGCATGCTGTCTGTCCAGTCTCTTCTTGAAGACTTTCAAGGTTGGGGACTGTACCACCCCCTTGGGAAGTCTATTCCAGATTCTGGACATACTTACCATAAAGAAATTCTTCCTTGCATCCAACCTGAAACCACCCTCTAACAGCTTTATGACTAGTACTACTTGTCCTCCCCTGGGGTGCCCTAGTGAACAGTTTTTCTCCCAGCTCCTGATATTCATCCCTTACATATTTATAGATGGTCACCAAGTTCCCCCCTCAGTCTTCTCTTTCCCCAGGCTGAACAGTCTCAGATCCTGTAGTCTTTCCTCATAAGGCTTGATCTCTAGGCCCTTAATCATTCTTGTGGCCATTCTATGGGCCCTTTTAAAATTCTCCATCTTTTTTTTTTTTTTTTTTTTTAAGTGTGACACCCAGAACTGGACACAGTACTCTAGCTGGGGTTTCACCAACGCTGAGTAGAGAGGAAGTATCACTTCCTTAGGCCCTGCTTGTGACACATCGGCTAATGCATCCCAGTATGCTATTAGCTCTGACTACAGTGTTGCACTGGAGGCTCATGTTCATCCTGTGATCAATCCCAAGGTCCCTTTCAGCCATCATGCTGGCCAGGACATCAATACAAGTGGGACAAGACAGACCAGTCAGTTCCTTTGTCTCACTTGTAGATTTCTCTATGCCTAGATGAAAGTTCAATAGCAACTTTGACATGTAGCTAGCTGCGTGTGAAACATTTTTTTACGGTATTAATTTCCACAGGGATCCCAGTCTGGGATTATGATCAGGTTTCTGGAAAATCAGTCTTCTTTTCATACCTTTCCATTTTTTAGAACAAATCTGTTTCTTGCCCTTGTTCATGCAAAGATCTTGAAAGTATGAACAGAAGATAAACCAGGTATTTATTAATTTTAGTCTGAAAAATCAGGTAAGAGGTATATGTTGCCTTTTTAATTAAAGCCCTCTAAATTCTTCACTTCTGTGGTCATGAAATTTAGCATTTTTTCACAATGCCACAGAATTGAGCATTTTGCTGAGAAATTTACTGTGACCACGTGCTTAAATGTTTTTTTGGGACCTGCTTGTAACTACCTCTTTCTCCAGCTTCTACTTCAAAGGAATTAGACTATATTCCCTGTACCTTGCCCCAGTAGAACAAGGTAGAAGAGCACTTATCTGCCATCTTCGCTTTGTCACTCGCAACCTGAATTTTGTCTCTGTCATGGGTGACTGGTGCTGCCTTAGGGGGGGGGGGGGGGATGTGCCCCCCTTGCGATCAGTTGCGCTGAACGGGAGAAGGGGGTCCCCCGCGGCTGATCCTGCCAACTGGGGTGGGGGGGTCTACCTGTAGCCAATCTTGCTGCGTGGGGGGACCCCCACGGCTGATCCCTGCACTGATGGCTGTAGCTGCTTCTGGGGGGGGCTGTGGCGCTCCCGCCTGCCCATTGGCTAAGCAGTGTGTGTGGCCGGTCAGGGGGTGCACATGCACCCCTGTGCACTCTACGCATCACCACTGGTCTCTATAGACCAAAAGTGTTCATCAGTCTTCATATATTTTAGCTATTATAGTAGCTAAGAAACGACATCACAATAGCTGGAAAAGGATTCTGAGGGTCATGTGTATCTACTGAAAGGAGAAAACATTTCTCTTTTTGGAGATCAAGCATTTATTTTTATGAAGGAAAATGCTAATTTTTTCAAGAAGAATATACATTTACAGAATCAAAATGCTTTTTTAATTAAGTTTTCTAATTGTTATATTTGTTGCCACTATGCATAGCCAGCGGTCAAGCCTTAGATCATTAGGGTAAATGTTACCACATTTAATATTCGAGACCATTAACCTAGCAGTGGATCTTCTGTTCCCAGTAATGTCCAGTTGACATATAGAAATGACTTAACCAGACGACAAATTCATGATATAACTGCAGATCTTCAAAAACTGCAGGAACTTTTCCTGTAGAGAAGTGGTACTTGTTGGTACAAGTTAATGAAACTGTGTGTAGTCATTTGTCTAATGCTTAAGATTACTTGAGTGGGAGTTTGAAGAACTTGAGTGGGAGTTTGCAGATCACACCAAGCTGGGGGGAATAGCAGATATGCAGGAGGGTAGGGCTAGGATTCAGAATGACCTAAACATATTGGAGGACTGGACTAAAATAAATCTCATGAAGCTCAGTAAAGATAAGTGAAAAATCCTGCAGTTAGGATGGAACAATCTCATGCGCTGGTCGGTACAGGCTGGGGACTGACTGGCTAAGCAGCAATTCTGCAGGAAAGAACTTGGGGGTTACAGTGGTCAGTAAACTGAATATGAGCCAACAGTGGCCCTTGGTGTAAAGAAGGCTAACAGCATTCTGGGCTGCATTAGAAGGAGCATTGCCAGCAGATTGACAGAAGTTATTATTCCCTTCTGTTTGGTGCTAGAGAGTCCACATCTGGAGTACGGTGTCCAGTTTTGGACCCCCTTCCTGCAGAAAGGATGCGGACAAATTGGAGGGAGTCCAGCAGGAGGCAACAAAAATGGTGAGGGGGCTGGGAGACATGACTTATGAGGAGAGGCTGAATGAACTGGGCTTATTGAGTCTGCAGAAAAGACTGGGAGGGGATTTAATAGCAGCCTTCAGTCACCTGAAGGGTGGTTACAAAGAGGATGAATCTAGTGGTGGTAGATGATAGAACAAGGAGTAATGATCTCAAGTTGCAGCAAGGGAAGTTTAGGTTATATATTAGGAAGAACTTTCTCACTAGGAGGGTAATAAAACGCTGGAACAGGTTACCCAGGCAGGTTGTGGAATCTCCATCCCTGGAGGTTTTTAAGACCTAGCTATACAAAGCCTTGGCTGGGATGTTATAGCTGGGGATGATCCTGATTTGAGATGGGGGTTGGACTGGATGACCTCCTAAGGTCCCTTCCAACCTGAATTGTCTGTGATTCTATGAACACATGACAATCTTGTTTTGATGCTCACCGACTATTTCCTACAAAGGTAAAGTTCTTAAGCTTTCGAATAGTTGGCTCATTATTCGGCTGATATCAACGTATAGTATTTGCACTGATGGTGCTTTCATTTTGACAAGAAAACACAGCAGCCTTGTAACTGAGATTCAGTCTGCATCCTATACCGTTTTAGATATGCTGTTCAATTCATCAGGAAGCAAAAGCTGGTCAGACTTCAAATTTTGTAATTTTGGCAAAAAAAACCCAACTAATTTTTACATGAAAATGTCTTTGGAAAAAAATCCCCTACAAACTCCTACAGGCAAGGATTTTTAGTGAGGAGGATGTCAGCGGAGTAAGAAAAAAATATTTTATTGGCTAGATGCATTGTGAGTTTTATTAAGGTAAGCCCATCAGTGCATACTATTTATATGGGCAAGTGACATCTGTAGTTCTCTTAACACTGAAGTTGTTGGCTTTCAAATGGCAAAGATGTGACTAGCTTGCTTGAACTTAAAATGGAAATATTTTACTTGCTGCATATGTCACTGATCAGCATCAGCATACACTGAATGATACTTTTTGAGTGCAGAATAGGAAATGAACTTTCAGCATGGAGGCCACAAATCAGTTTCAGGTTCTTCCCTGAATTTCCCATATTGCAAAGCAGGTGGTAGATCCCAGATAGAGAAGCAGGAGGTCCCAGGGGCATTTTGTTATGGAATTTGGAAAAGAAGCACCATACTGGAACAATGAAGCACTCACAGCCACATGAAGAGGATTGAGTATAGAAGATGAAACATGAGCAGGAATTGGGATCTAGAGTGGATTGGGGGACCTGCATTCACCAGAGGAAAAAAACCCCTACAAAACTGAGCTACATTCATGCCTAAATGCAAAGTTGATTTATTTCACTTTATATTCCCTCAAAGTATTCCATCCAATTGTTTTGCCTTACAGCTAAGAAAGAAACTTTTACTATCATTTTTGTTTTGCAGTAGTGGGGTGCTGTTATCCTCTAACAATGACAGACATGTAAGGGAGAGGTAGATTGAAATGGATGCTATTTAAAACCTTTTTCAAGGTAACACAGGCTATTTAGGAGGACCCCTGAGGGGAACTGGTTTCAGGTTATTTGGGGCCAAAGGCCCAGGTAGCCTGTCTAACCCAAGACAGAAATCCAGTAATGACTGCCATGAATTTCTTTTCAGTCAGCTGCCTGGTTATAATGATTATATACAGACTGTGTTGTGTATGTGTGTGTGTCTCTCTCTCTCCACTAGCCCTGGAATAACAGACTAGATCCCTTCCTGAAAAATTTCATAATCCTAAATAGTGTTCTCATGTTAATTCCTGAGAAGTCTGTGGGAGGTTTTTTTCCTTAAAAAAAAAACAAAAAACCCTAAACTGCCATATGAAGTGTGTTATGTTTTTCTCATTGCATTCATTAGTTTTCCAAAATTGCTATTAGGCAAGACAACTTAAATTCTATATTTATCTTTTCTAGTTAAATAGAGTTAAAATGGTAGAGAAAGAAAAGGATGCCTTAGAAGGAGAGCGAAACAAAGCCATTGAATTTCTTACTTTGGAAAACAAAATGTTTAAGGAAAAGAATCACATTTGTCAGTACTACATGTAAGTAACAGTTCCTTGCTCAGCTTTGGATAGTGGTTTCTACAGTTCATATTATTACTTACCTCCTTGCTTCCGTAATAATAGTTGTAAACATTGTTTGCTTGAGCCTCCTGAAACAGTCACTTTGCATTAAATAATGACAGTTGGAAAGGAATGCTAAGTAATATACTGAGAGCTTTGTTCCTGTTTATTCTGAATATTAAATTAAAAATATTCTTTATTTTAAATGGTTAATATTAGCACAGTAACATTTTTTAATAGTGCCAGGTATTTCCTGCTTTTTTAACTTCTCCTTTTCTTATATTAAAATAAGCTGACAGATATAAAGGGATGGGGGTTTTTTGTTTGGGTTTTTTTTATATATAAGCTTGATAATTTTAAAAGTTATCTAAGAGTTTCATTTCTGAACTGTGAAATCTGTGGATTTCTTAAATTTAAATTTGGCAGGCTTTGTAAGCAGTGATCAGCAGGGATCCTGGCTTACCTGATTAAAAAATAGCAAATTCTCTGGTAAACTCCTCCCCCCCCCCCTCCCCCCTTTCCATTATTAAAATTAAAGGCCTGAGCCCCACAGCCGCCGGGGCTATGGGGCCAGGGACCCAGGGCTGCAGCTCCCTGCCCACAACAGAAGGCAGCAGCTGCTGCAGCAAGAGCATGGAACTGGCTCCCCCACTGCTGCCTGCCTACTGCAGGCTCAGGTAGGGGTGGGGCCAGCTCCTGGCAGCAGCGCACACTCCCAGGTGGCAGGGGGGACCTGCGCCCCACAGATCCATGCGGGGGGTGGGGGCAGGGTGGAAGCCCGCTGTGTGTGACTTCCCTGAAGGGCCGATAGTGCATTGATCTGGGTCCATATACCTCGGGCCAGGCAGGCACTCCAGGCCAGGCAGGCACTCCTGCAGTAAGTTGGCCAGGGCCTGAGGGAACGGGGAGGTGCTGGGGAAAACCGCACATGGAGCGCCTACCCAGCCAGCAGTGCGTGGATTTGGAGCGGTGCTATACTGGCTCTTCAAGGAAGCAACACATGGAGGCACAGAGCCTGCTTGGGCTGAAACCACACTGCTCTGTGTCCGTGTACTGCCAGCTGGGCAGGCACTCCATCTGCAGCTTTCCCCAACACCTCCCCGCTCCTCAGCCCCC